TTTGGCCCTGAGGTGTGAAACTGGCCTAACAGAAGTAAAATCTCTCACACCAACCTCGTGAATACAAAAAATAAGGCAATATTTATTCTTGCTGGCATCGGAATACAGCGCGCCAACGATTTAAGGTATTCAAAATACCACAAAAGCAACTTACAGTTAATGCCTCATCCAAAGTGCTACCCATCATCCAATGGCCATTCACTTCCAATAGACGATCGCCCGGTTTAAGACGTCCATCCCGCCCGACTGCTCCATCCGAAGAAACCCAGGTAACTAAAATGCTGCCATCGTTGGACAAGGATGACAAGCAACGGCCCAGAGGTCCGTTGGAAGCAGCGATGCCATCCTGCCCGGAAACAGGAACACCACCGGATATACGCAACCCGAAACGTTCGCCCGGTTGCCGAGTAATGGTGAGACGCTGTGAGGAGTGAAACCATGAGTTACGAGAGAGAGATAGAATTTATAAACATATTAAGAACGGCGCAATTTTGGAGTTGTATATGACAAACGGATTGCAGTGTTTTGCCAATGATAAGATCAAACAGGCGAACCACAGAGTCTGTTGAGTATCACAGGTTTTTCAGCAACACTGGTGACTAAAAGGATAAATTGTCTGGGAAAAAACAACAGAATGGTACACTAGAACTGTAATATTTTGAGCGTCGAGAGAATGATAATAATAGAAATTTTAATTTTTACTAACCAGATGGTTCAAGATACCAATCCACAATCACAAAAAAATTATCCAAGATTTCAAGTATAAGCTCATTTTTCGTAGCCAATATCTGAACAATGAAGCTGCACGCAAGCTGAAAGCCAGGGGAAGACCAGTAAGTTGCTCTAAGTAACAATTTATGTGCACTGTGAGCGGAGCAGGACAAAGGGAACATTTCGATTGGAGTATGCACAGTTACCCTGAGCGTGAACTGATACCACTCAGGATGATTTGTCCACAAGATCGAACAAGCCCACGGTGCTTCATGCGATCGCATTAACATCGATTATTCCGTATATGGGGTAGACTGCAAAACACATGAACAATAAACCATAAGACTGGGAATCCTAAGCAAAGCGCCCAACTGAAATCTCAGGAAGAAGTTGATGACAAAACGACGAATTATATGGATGAGAAAACCAATTATTTCATTCATCTCTTTTCATCCACTAGAATGACAGTACCATTTACGGTAATTAATTAATTAGTTATTTTATCAATCGATGGCAGACAACTTCTAGGAACCCACAACGAAAAATGACTTTTTGGTGGCGTCTGAATGAGGGCGATGTCATCGTGATCCGGCTTTGAATTATTTATCATCATGCATCATACTTATTATCCCGTTTCGAAATATGTTGAAGGTGCGGTTTGGTTCCCGTTACCAGGATGCCCTGAAACTTGAGGCCCGAGGTTCGGACTCCTACTTCGATGAAGAGCACAGACAGGCTTGCAGATTTGGAGTGAATCCATGGTATCGCCGCAATCGGCGACAATAAACAAAGGATTTAAGAAGCGGTAAACGAGTGGGGAACTGTTGTATGACATTAGGTTTTCAAGTTCAAAGTGCAAGGGGAAGCAAGAAGATTGGTAGGGACCTATTCCCACATTTTTGTTGAGCAATGACAACGGAAGGGGTTAAAATATTTTTCCACCTCGGTAGTAGTACAACGGATCACTTTTTATAAATTATGAAAGAAATCGTCTTGGACATAAATCGTGCAGATTGCAATATGGTCTTTTCTTCTGAAATTAATCTCAGGAAAGGCTTGTTTCGGTTTTCATAAATGAGATGCCCAAACGCGAGATTGAAACAAGTGCTATTTGCTCGTATATGACATATCGGACACTCGTACTGTCAAATTCTCGACTGTGAAGGTAAAAATACCTGCTAAAGATGACTACAACATCAACCAAACCACCAAGAAAAGCCTGTAACATCACGACGAGTCCACACCTTGACGAGGTATGATGGCTTGTGCGCCTCAATGACCCTGCGAGCTATGCAGCCTCAGTCGCAGATCCAATCATGTCTGAAAGGTCAAGAAGTGGAGGCCAGATGAAGATCAGTACCACAAAGCCAGCTGCTTGGGCACCTCCTGGCTTCCCTTTTCTATCCACACCCGCCCCTGGAGAGGCCACTCTAGCAAATAAACACGGTGAGGGGCAGTTTACCGGTCAAATAACCCCCGTTAGATGGACGTAGGAGCGGGGTACCTGGGGCTTCCTCTCGACGGTGGGAGAAGTCTTCGCACTTCATTGGACAGCTACCGCCCGTCCAGGCTGGACAGCCCTCAACCAATAAGGTGCTGTCCCGTCCACGCTCCGCTTGTCTCATTGGGTGCATGAGGCTGAGGGCTGATCCCGAAAAGCGGACCGACAATCAACGCACCAGCGAACAACAAACTTAACCCAAATTCAAAGGCCTTGCCTGACAGGTCTTTAGAAGCTCCCACACGGGTGCTACGTTCACGCTCCCGCACTATAATTACGTCCACTGTGTCAGCAATGGTTGGAAATCGGCCTTCGAAGCGCAACTATCAGGTTGTCTCTCAGCACAAACATCAGCCGGAAGACTCAGTAAGCAGTGGACGGCAATCAATGAAGCGATCAAAATGTCAATCGAAACAACAGCAAATTCTGACTCTTGGGTACCCATTTGGAAAACCATCTTTCCCATCTGTCTAGTCCTTCTCATTCCCGTATGTTCCCAGGTGCCTCCCGTTTGCGATAACCATCGCATATCGCTCAGTGTTCAACTAATTAGGCCAACCACTCAGAGGCTACCAGGTTTTTGAAACCAAAATCCCCTTTTTGTTTAGCCGCATTCAATGTCCACACACTCTACCAGATCGGTCAACCAGCCGTCTTAGCTAGAACCCCTCGAACCTTTCATTTAGACGTATGCTGTGTCTCCGAAACACGCACAATCAATCATAATCAAGACCCTACTTCAGTCATCTCCCTCCGTTGTCCAGATCCAGCCTCANGTTTTGGGTACCCATTTGGAAAACCATCTTTCCCATCTGTCTAGTCCTTCTCATTCCCGAATGTTCCCAGGTGCCTCCCGTTTGCGATAATCATCGCATATCACTCAGTGTTCAACTAATTAGGCCAACCACTCAGAGGCTACCAGGTTTTTGAAACCAAAATCCCCTTTTCATTCAATGTCCACACACTCTACCAGATCGGTCAACCAGCCGTCTTAGCTAGAACCCTTTGAACCTTCCATTTAGACGTATGCTGTGTCTCCGAAACACGCATAACCAATCATAATCAAGACCCTACTTCAGTCATCTCCCTCCGTTGTCCAGATCCAGCCTCATCCTCACGCTTCACTCTCCGCGTGTCAGGCGATTCGGCATCCAAAGCTCGCGGTGTTGCTGGTATTGGGATTGCGCTAAGTGTCAAGGCCGAGCGTTCACTTCTCGAATGGATCCCGGTTAACAGCCGACTTTGCGCCGTACGTCCGGATGGTTCAATACGCGTCAACGGCTACAGAACAAAGTATCGATGCTTATTCGTCGTATCCGCGTACGCATTGACAGATTGCAGTTCCCCAGAAATGAAGGATGGGTTCTACAAGGATCTCTCTCAACTGCTCCCAAGTGCTCGGTCAACGGCTATTATGGTAGTCGCTGGAGACTCCAATGCTCAAGTGGGATCCCTCTTTGAATCAGAGAGTTTACTTGGCATGCAACCCCAGCCAACAGGACTGACAACGGAGAACGCCTACTCCAAATTTGTGCTGACCACGGACTGTTTCTATCAGACACGAACTTCTCGCACAAAAAATGCCATCACCTTACATGGAGACCGCCAACTTCTCCACAGCGCTGGACTCAAATCGACCACATCGCCATCAGCCGCCGCTGGAGAGGATCCATTGGAGACTGCCGCTCCTACTGGTCAACACCCATAGACACGGATCATACTCTGCTACGAGCGAGATTCTCCCTACGCCTGATAAACAACCTCAGGAAAGCCGCCGAAAACGGATGACCACAATACACCATCACCGAATGTTGCAAATCGGCCTTCGAAGCGACCTATCAGATCGCCTCTCAGCTCAATCATCATCCGGAGGACTTAGTGAACACTGGTCGGCAATCAAGGAAGCGATGGAAACGCCGATAGAAACAGCAGAGAATTCTGAATCACGATCAAATAAAAAACGATGGATCTCCCCGTCATCGGTTGCCCTGATGGACGCTCGCAAAGCCATTCCTTCGGATTCAAACTACGACAAAGCGCGCAAATCCCTTAAACGCCAACTCATCAAGAGTCTGAGGAATGACCGCGAGAATTGATGGGTAGGAAAGTGTAGAGAGATGGAGAAGGCTGCGGCTATCGGTAATAGTCGCAACCTTTTTCGTTTAATTAGGAGTACAGGACCAAGGAAAGCAGCCGTAAGTGAGGCAACTAAGGAGTCTGACGGCACCCTGATTCAAATTCAGGAACGTCGTGTTGAACGTTGGGTAGAACATTTTAAGGCACACTTCAGCTGGTCCCCTTCGGCACAAGACCTCCCTACACTCGGTTCAACAAGAAATATTGACAGTTGACATCAGTCTTCCATCTGAAATGGAGGTTACCCGGGAAATAAGTGACCTCAAACGGCATAAGGCTTCTGGCCCCGACGGGCTGTCCCCATCGGTTTTTAAGGATGGAGATCTAGCCTTGGTTTTGGAGTTAACAAAACTCCTGGGTTCAGTGTGGGAGAGGGAAGAGGTTCCAACTGAATGGTGTGAATCGGTAATCATACCGATTTACAAGAAAGGTGACAGATATTTCAATGAAAACCACAGAGGAATTAGTTTAATCAACATTGCCTGTAAACTTCTCGCCGGTATCATACTCCGTTGATTGTTTGCCGCACGTGAACGGTGTAGTCGTGAGAACCAGGCTGGTTTCAGACGTGGTCGAGGCTGTATTGACCACACCTTCACATTTCGTCAAATTCTACAACAATTTCTAGAACTTTTCGTAGACCCACCATTTCCATCTTCCTCGACCTGAAAGCGGCTTCAACTTAGTCGAGCGCTCTAAACTCTGGCGCTGGCTTTCCCTGAACGGTGTGCCCGAGAAGTTTATTTCAATAATACAATCCTTCTATAATAATAGCCGAAGCTGAGTCCGAGCTTACGATACTTTTTCAATCGAGTTCACCACGGAAAGTGGTGTTCGACTGGGTTGTCCTCTCTCTTCATTTCTATTTAACTTCGTGATAGATTAGATTATGGAAACAGCCTCATCCTCGTGCGAGGATAGCAGTATCGAGTAACTCCAAGGTGGCACATTGTCTGGTCTACAGTATGCAGACGAAATTGTGCTACTAAGCGGAAATACAGGTGAGTTACAAGCTTTTGTGGATAGTTTGAGTGCTAGTGTGTCCATGTTCGGTATGCGTTTTGCACGCACAAAGTGTAAAATGGTACTACAAGACTGGGTTGGACCAGCACCCAGTCTCATCCTAGCCGGGTAAGTAGTAGAGCAAGTGGATAAATTTTGCTATCTGGGCAGCTACATATCACCCGATGGACGCATCACGGATGAACCGTCAGCTCTCATACAGAAGGCTCGGTTGGCAATTGCCAACTTGAGACATCTGTGGCGCCGTCTCGACATCCGGCTATCTGTGAAGGGTCTAGTGTATACCGCGACAGTTCGACCAATTCTGCTATACGGAGCAGAGACTTGGCCATTAAGAAAACAGGATAAACATAGGCTGTCGGTGTTTGAACACCGTTGTCTACGCAGCATTGCACGAATCTGGTGGGTCAACCGGACGAGCAATGCTGAGGTTAGGCACAGAGTTTTAGGCAGTCGCGGTTGCCCACTGGAACAAGTAATGGACCTCCATAGATCACGTTGTTTGGGACATGTGTTACGCATGTCACCAGATAGATTACCACGGTGAGTGATGTTTTCCGAGGCAGGTAGCGGTTGGAAAAAGATCAAGGGTGGTCAGTCGAGGACCTGGCATGAGGGTATACAAACCTTAACCAGGAATCTAGGTCACAAAGATCCTGTTAGGCTCCCTGGCTGGGGACCTCGGGATGATCGTCACCGATGGTTAGATACACAGAGTGATATGGCTGAGTGTCCTAAACAGTGGCGTTCGTTCATCTCAATTTCTTTGTAAACTAGTAGAATGAAAATCTTAAGTTCCTGTTCGACTCTTCTTTCAACGTGGTCTTTCTCCTACTGCTCATCCAAATGGGCAGCCAGAAGACAGCAAACAGAA